TCATATGCAAAATCTATGAAAGAAATATTGACAAGGAAAAGGTCTATTAGTGAGGTAGAGACAGTAGCTTTCACTGCAGAGTGTAGTGTCGCTCTTCAAAATAAGTCTCCACCTAAATTAAAAGATCCGGGTAGTTTTTCTATCCCTTGTCTTATAGGCAATCTAATGATTGATAATGCATTGTGTGATCTGGGTGCTAGCGTTAGCGTCATGCCATTATCTGTGTGTTCCAAGTTAAATATGGGTAAATTAAAAGCTACCAACACAACTCTACAAATGGCCGATCGTTCTTTCAAATACCCCTTAGGTGTTTTAGAGGATGTCCCCGTTAGAGTAGGTAAATTTTATATACCTGTTGACTTTGTTGTTCTTGATATGGCTGAGGATGTGCAAACCCCAATCATTTTGGGTAGACCGTTCCTTAACACTGCAGGAGCAATCATAGATGTGAGAAGTGGTAAGTTAACACTATCAGTAGGGGATGATAAAGTTATTTTTAATCTTAATAATGCCCCTAAAAGCTCCATGACTGAGGAGAAATGTTTTAGTGTTAATGTGGTTGAGAACTATTCTAAAAAGCCCCAAGCTCTTGAAAAAGATCCCTTGGAGGCGGTATCTTGTGTTGCATCCCTTTCAGATGAGATAGACAAATGGCAGAGGGAAGTCGATGCAATAGAAAGAGCACTTTACACTGTTGGTCTTGGTTTCGAGGATGAAAAGGTGGAACCGATCAAGCAAGTTGTGCGATTTGAGCCTACGGTAAGTGTTCCGCCAGATCGAGTTGCAAGCGTTGCATGCAATGACAATTTGAAGAAATCCTCGATCAAAGAAGGATCTTTGGTGCGTATCATTGAAGAACCCCTTACCCAAGTCAAGGAGGATCCACCCGATAAGGTGAATTGGCGTCCCACAGGGTATGTCAGGAAGCCGCGTCGTAGCCTAAACACCGCTAGACCGGGTGAGAAACCACCCGATCAAGCGTTAGGCCAAGGGTCCTAGTTATTATACTGTGGTAAGAGGATTGTGCGGGACCTAGATAAACCAGCGCTTTGCGGGAGGCAACCCGTATTTCTTGCTTTCTAGACTAGTTTTCCTTTTTCTTTATTTTTATTTTTATTTTAGAGAGGCGAGGAGAGTGAAATTTTACCTTTTATAAGTGTTTTTGTGTAGGTATAGGTTTGAGAGGTAAAGAGACTTAGAAAAATTTGAAGACGAAAAGAAATCGAAGAAGAAGCTAAGAAACTCTGACCGGGTGACAAGGGTTAAATCGGTCGCTACAATCTAACTCTCAATCAAACAATACTTATACGAACACCCTATAACCAAGTACAATGGCAAATAAAGGTTCGGTCCACGAGGAACGAGAGTAATTGCAAATCAATCTTAAACCTAAGCTAGTTCGAAATCAATGGAAAATGGTGTTCTAAAATACTACTAATAAGATGGAATAAATCAATAAACTAAGACACTAGGGAGAACGGGAATCCGCCTAACCATTGGTAACTAAGCAACAAGGAATCACAGAGACAAACGGGATATGCAAAGACTATAAGTCTGATCAACATCATGTGATAGGAAGACAACGGGCAATACTAAGCTTTGATTTCTCATGCACTTAACATTACTCGATACATAATCAAACCACATTCAATAATGAAATACTCAATTCACAATCTCTTGTTCAAATCAAGAATATCATGCAATCAAATTCAAGATTCTAGGTTAGCTACTCCTATTATAATGAATTAACATGCAATCGCATATAATCAATTTAATCACAATCCGTTTATCAAAATCAACCCTCAATTACATAGATTACCTAGGCCGGGTTTCATCCCGAAACCCTAGCTAGGAGACTACTCACACATATTCATAATCAAAGCAATAATGAATTCCAAAAGCATAATAGATATAAACATGAATTCTGATTAAGGAATAATAAAGCTTGATTAATAAACAAGAATGAATAATACCAATTTTATTGATGCGAATCAATGGAACAGTTTAGAACTTTGATATCCGTCGTCAATGAATAATACAAAGAATCTTCGCAAATCTTGCTTCAAATCAATCCAAGAAAACTAAAATCTCTAGAAATATCTCTAAGAAAACTAATGAATCTCTAATACTAAGAACGTTCTCCAATAACTCTCTACAAAGGCTCTCAAAACTATCTCTAAAACTGTCTCTGGAATCCTCTTAAAGTCGGGCCTTATATACGTCTTCTAATTCGGAGAAGTCAAGCGCGCAGTTAACCCTGGATCAGCACGGCCGTGCTGAATTTGGCACGGCCGTGCTAGCTTGTCAGTAAGTAAACCGGATTTCTTCTTCAAATTGGCACGGCCGTGCTATATATGGCACGGCCGTGCAGCTTCCTGGCACGGCCGTGCTAAAAATGACACGGCCGTGCTGAATATGCTCTAGCACGGGGCTCATACTGAAGCTGACACGGGCACGGGAAACATCTGGCACGGCCGTGCTAATGGCCTGCACGGCCGTGCGGGTGCGTGGATACTGACACGGCCGTGCTATTGGCTTGCACGGCCGTGCTGCCTTGCCTGGGGTTGCTTGCTTATAGGCCAGCACGGGTGTGCCTATGGTAACACGGCCGTGCTGCATATGCTCTATAATCAATGCACGACACTTGAACTTCCTTAACTCCTCGGACTCCGGTCAAGGCTAGCTCGGTTACGCATCAAGGGCTCGGGATCCGATTAAACTCGGTTGATATTACCTGAAAACACATCAAAAACAAACAGAAAACCCGTGAAGCACGTAATATGGGGAACGTAAGAATAACAAGGTAATAATCGGCCAAAGCGGCCCCAAATACATCCAAAATCATCCTAAAATATGCTCTAAAGCGCGCCCTAAAGTGCGCTTGTCAAAAACCCCCAAGCTACACTTTTGCTAGTCCTTGATCAGTGGCCATTTGGCCCACTTTTCTACTTCGTTTCTTCCCGATTGAGCCCTTTGTTTGCCCTTTTTCCTCTATTTTAGCTTAGTTTTGTTATTATTGAGCATATTTGTTACTTGGAGTGGTTTTGAGTCATTTTTGGCTCATTTCCTAAGGTTTTATTCCCTCTCCTTTAACCCATTTCAATTTGCTCCTATTAGAACCTTTCCTATGATTTGTGTTTTCCATCTTACAGGTCCTCCCGTGGCTAAGAAAGCAAGGATTGGATGCAAGGATTAGGCATGCTTTGGAGTCAAAGGGATTGGAGCATTAGAGCCCAAAATATGAAGGAAAGAAGAGTTCAGAGCGGGCGCTCTAGATATGGAGCGGGCGCTCTGTATTCCTTGCTGCAGAAAAACCAAGTACCCAACCCTCAGAGCGGGCGCTCTAATGTTGAAGCGGGCGCTCTAGCTCCCAGAATAATCAGAGCATTTTCTGCGAGACCTCAGAGCGGGCGCTCTAATGTTGAAGCGGGCGCTCTAGCTCCCAGAATAATCAGAGCATTTTCTGCGAGACTTCAGAGCGGGCGCTCTGGCCTTAGAGCGGGCGCTCCGTGTTCCCCTGACCGATTTGAACTCTGCTACACGCGTAGGCCGACGGCTCTAATTATTTTACTCTGCACGTGATGCCTAAAATTTTGGGCCTTGATTTGGGTTAGGTTTTAGAGGAGGGTATAAATACCTCTCTTCCTTGTAATTGGAGAAGGAGGTAGAGAGAGAAATATTAGAAAATCAGATTTCAGCTTATTGTTTTTCTTTCTTTCTTTTGCACTTTAGATTAGTTAGGGTTTAGTTCCTCATTAGATCTAAAACACTACTCTTTGTTACTCTCTTTCATTTTCAATCCAAGATTAAATCTTTTGGTATTATTTCTATCCCTACTCTTTATTTATTGCTTTATTTATCTATTTTAATTAGTTTTAGCTTATCTTTAGTTGTTATTTCAAGTCAATAGAATAGTTTAATGTCTTAGTTGCCTCCTTGTTTAAACTTGCAATTTCTGGTTTTGATCCTTTATTTTCTTGCTATTAGTATAATATTATCGTTATTTGCTTAGATTTCATGCTATTTAGAATAGATTACAAGTAGACTTAACATATTCTCTTCAAAGTTAACTTCTTTAGTAAAGTTTAATCATCCTATTTTCTGGTTTTAGCCATGTTTCTCTCATTAAACTTAGTTTTTGCTTTTGTTAATGTTCTTGTGTGCTTTGGTATGACCCTTCCTTCTCTAGGCTAGGTTTCTAGCTAGGGGAGGGGGAAATGATGAACTAATGATGAAATGAATGATATGTGGTGCAAGATTGGGTAGATTGAGAAGTTTTGCAATTGATTCCAACCTAGGTTTTAGTTGTTAGGAATTAGAGATTGATCACCTCTAAGACCCTATTTTGTGTTGCATGCTAGTTGCGCGAGAGTGAGCTTGTATGTGATGATGACTAGGTTAGGGATGACCTCGACCACCGAGGCGGGGTTGGGTAGGCGGTGTTTAGGTGAGCCCGAGAGGGAATCCTAGATGTTGGACCATAGGCCCCAATTGTTTGGTTGACCGATTGAACCATTCTTGTTGCCTCTAATTGTTGAAATCATTGTTAGTTAGGAATTCTCCCCTATCCCCTAGTGTTTGCTATTCCTTGATTTTCGAAGTTTTATACCTCTGCTTGTTGCTTGTTAATTTAGTTCTTAGTTTATTTGTTTCCCTAGTAGCTATAGATAAATCCATCAAAAATTTATTTCTCCCTTTTCAATTGACTTATAAGTGATCTAAGCAAGAGACGTTTGACCTTCCCTGAGGATTCGACCCCTCTTCCACTATGCTACCTTTGGTTAGTTTAGGACGTGGGTTTTCTTTTTATTCTTGACTCGACCTTTAGGAAATAACGACACCTAGGGGGCCGATCAAGTTTTGGCGCCGTTGCCGGGGAACGGCAACATTGTTTATTGCTTAGTTATCTTGTTTTTCAATTGTTTTCTACTTCTATCCTTCTATTTTTCATTTATTTCTCCGTTGTTGTCATTCGCTAATTGTCTGCTTAGCTGTGTTGAATGCTTAGAAGATCACAGGGACCACCTACTCACGACCTCGATCTCGACATTGACCGCACTCTAAGGCGAGTGAGGAGACTATTTGTTGAACAAACGGGCGAGGAGGAGGAGTTCTTTGATTCTTCTAGTGATATTTCTTCAGACATGGGGGATGCCAATGGCGCTCTTTTTGGTGACTTTGGTAATCCGGGTAGTCATGAATTGCAATGTGGGATTCTACTTCCTACAACGGAAACAAATTTCACGATCCACCCGCACTACACTCAAATGGTGCGTGGAGATCAATTTTCTGGAGCAGCTCATGAAGATCCGATAGAGCATTTGGACAAATTTCTCGAGACATGTGCTTTAATCCAAACCAACCAAGTCACTCAAGAATACATCCGGATGCACCTTTTTCGGTATTCGCTCACAGGCAAGGCTTATAGGTGGCTCAAAAACCTAAAGCCCAGCTCGTTGGCCACATGGAGAGACACGGCCAAAGCTTTCTTGAACAAGTTCATTCCCGAAGACAAATCAACCGAATTGAGGCAGAAAATTTCATCATTTAGGCAAGAAAGGTATGAATCTTTGGGGGAAGCTTGGGACCGGTTTAAAGAGTATGTGAGAGCTTGTCCACACCATGAGTTTGACAAGCAACTTCTCATCAAGTTCTTCTATGATGGTCTTGACGACATACCCAAGCAAAATTTGAATTCCGGATGTGGTGGAAATATTAGCAAGGTGCCTCAAGCTCAATTGGAGGACACCATAGAGGAAGTTGTGAGGTACTATTCTACGAGTGGTGGAAGAAGAAGAGGTGAAGAGAGAGCTTCGGGCAAATTCGAGCTTGATCAAGGTTCACTCAAGGCTCTTATGGAACAAGTCATTGACAAGAAGCTGGGAAATAGCCAAGGGTCTTCATCTTCCTCCACCAATCAAGTACACTCTTTCTCTTGTGAGAATTGTGGGGGTACCAACCATGATATATCATATTGTGGTGGTCGAGACCCCGAACATGTAGCGGCAATGGGGTACATGAACAATCAACGTGATAATTGGAGAGCCCCCAATGCCAATTATGGTAATAGATTTCAAGATGCAAGTGGCCCAAGCCACAACACGGGTCAAATGGCTCCCTTTCCAAATCCAAATGCTAGCAATCACCCTAGAGCACCATTCAAGCAAGGACCACCCAACCAATTTCAAAATTTCCAACCCAACCCTTCCATGCAAAATGACCCTAATCAACAAATGATCATGGAAACTCTCAATAGAATCCAATCAAGCCTATCCGCCATGGATCAAAGAATAACCAATAGTGAGCGAAAAGCGGATCAAAGGCATCAAGAGGTCACCGCACATCAAAAGATGATGGATAATCAAGTGGCTCAACTCGCCGAGAGGGTGACCAATCTAGCCAATGAGAAGCTCCCGGGCCAACCTACTACCAACCCGGCTACCACCCATCATATCAAAGCTATCTCTCTTAGGTCCGGAAAGTCTTATGAGGGGCCTAGGAGTGATCAATCGGAGCACAACAAGGAGGGTGAAGAGCAAGAGGTTGAGGAGGTCCATGGAGATAACCAAGGTCAAAGAATTGAGAATAGTGTTGAAGGAGGCATTGAGAAGAAGAAGGGTGAAGGTAGTGAAAAGAGTAAGGAAGTTGGGAAAGACAAGCAACCATCAACATCTTATCAACCATCAAGGTTTGAACCACCACCGCCTTATCCCGAGAGGATTGTTGAGAGGAGATTGAATGACAAGTACAACAAGTTTATGGCTATGCTCAAGTCACTTCACATCAACATTCCATTCCTTGAAGCCATGACTCAAATGCCACCCTATGCAAAATTCCTCAAGGAACTCCTCTCCAACAAAAAGAAGCTAAGTGATGAGTGTATCACTCTTCCTCATCAAGTTAGTGCCCTAGTGCAAAGAACCTTGCCTACCAAGCAATGTGATCCGGGAAGCTTCACTCTTCCGGTCAAGATTGGTGATATGGAGACCACGGGTGCACTAGCCGATCTTGGGGCAAGTGTGAGCCTCATGCCACTATCCATTGCAAAGAAGCTCAAGTTCGAGATGATACCTTCAAGAAAGGTGATTCAATTAGCCGACCGGTCCACAAAATTCCCATGCGGTGAGTTAGAAGACGTTCCTATCAAGATTGGGAATTTGTTTGTGCCTTGCGATTTTGTGGTGATGGATATGGAGGAGGACCCTCATACTCCTCTTATCCTTGGAAGAGAGGCACTCAAGACCATGGGAGCGGTCGTCAATTGCAAAGATAATACCATTACATGTGAGGTGGCCAATGAGAAGTACAAGTTTGAATTCTCAAAGACTTTGAAGCAACCTATGGTAGAGAAGATTTGGCGGGTGGACTTGGTGGACTCCGAACTTGATGAATTGGTGAAGTCTCATGAGGTATTTAAAGACAAGGGTGATGAAGACCTCCCTGTGAGGAGGTGGGTGAAGGAGAATCTTTGTGTGCCTTGGAGGTTGAAAGCCTTGAAGGTGAAACTCATCCCGAGACTCAAGGAGCCGTGGATGAGCTCCCATCGATCCAAAGTGAGTCTAAGGAGGAGAGTTCCACGCCTCCTCCCAAGGTAGAACTAAAACCCCTCCCTCCTTCTCTCAAATATGCTTATTTGGATGATGATTGCTTATATCCTATTATTGTCAATGCTAACCTCGATGACACCTCATTGCAAAAATTAATTGAGATTTTAAAAAAATATAGGAGTGTTATCGGGTATAGCATTGATGATATTAAGGGGATTAGCCCTAGCTTGTGTATGCATCGCATTCATCTTGAGGATGATCATGCCTCTTCCATTGAGCCTCAAAGGCGGTTGAATCCGACTTTGAAGGAAGTGGTTAAGAAGGAAATCCTCAAACTACGTGAAGCGGGGATCATTTATGCTATCTCCGATAGCAAATGGGTGAGCCCGGTTCATGTGGTTCCCAAAAAGGGAGGCATGACCATCATACAAGATGACAAGGGGAATGATATCTCCACCCGCACTGTCACGGGGTGGAGAATGTGCATTGACTATAGGAGGCTTAATAAAGCCACTAGAAAAGATCATTTCCCCTTGCCATTTATCGATCAAATGTTGGAAAGGTTGGTGAAGCATTCACACTATTGTTTTCTTGATGGTTATTCGGGTTTCTTTCAAATCCCAATTCACCCGGATGACCAACATAAAACAACCTTCACTTGTCCATTTGGGACATTTGCCTACCGAAGGATGCCCTTCGGATTGTGCAATGCCCCATCGACTTTCCAACGATGTATGACAGCAATCTTTTCTGATATGATCGAAAATGCAATAGAAGTTTTCATGGATGATTTCAGTGTTTGTGGGTCGTCTTTTGACCTATGCTTGCACAATCTCGAAAAGGTTTTAAAGAGGTGTCAAGAGACGAACCTTGTGTTGAATTGGGAAAAGTGCCATTTTATGGTCGAGGAGGGCATTGTCCTCGGGCATAAAGTGTCCATTAATGGTATTGAGGTAGACCCGGCAAAGGTCTCGGCGATAGAACAGCTACCCCCACCATCATCGGTGACCGGGGTACGTGCCTTCTTGGGGCACGCCGGCTTCTATCGCCGATTTATCAAAGATTTTGCACAAATAGCGAGACCTTTGACGAGTTTACTTCAAAAAGAGGTGGAGTTCAAATTCGATGATGCTTGCACTAAGGCATTTGAAACCTTGAAAAATGCTTTAGTGAATGCGCCTATAGTGCAAGCACCGGATTGGGAACTCCCATTTGAGCTAATGTGTGATGCGAGTGATAATGCAGTTGGAGCAGTCCTTGGGCAAAGGAAAGAAAAGAAATTGAATGTGATCTCTTATGCAAGCCGGACCTTGGATACGGCACAAAAGAACTACACCACCACGGAGAAAGAAATGTTGGCGGTAGTCTTCGCTTTTGACAAGTTTAGACCCTATTTGGTGTGCAACAAGGCCATTGTCTACACCGATCACTCCGCGGTGAAGTATTTAATGAGCAAAAAGGATGCCAAGCCGCGTCTAATCCGATGGGTCCTTCTCTTACAAGAATTTGACATTGAAATACGGGATAAGAAAGGAAGTGAGAACCTAGTGGCTGACCATCTCTCAAGGTTGCCGTTAGACCACCCTTCTTACCTTGACAAAGAGGATCCCATCGATGATGAGCTTCGAGATGACTCTCTTATGGCGATCGTTACCAACACCATCCCTTGGTTCGCTGATATTGCAAATTATTTAGCAAGCGGGGTGGTACCTCATGACTATGATGCTCGACAAAGGAAGAGGTTCTTCAAGGAAGTTAAGAGGTATTTTTGGGATGATCCAAGCTTGTACAAGAAGTGTAGTGACGGTTTGTTCCGGAAATGTGTGGCAAATCATGAGATGGAAGGTATTATGGAACATTGTCATTCACTACCTTGTGGAGGTCATGGAGGTGTCAACAAGACCATGGCAAGGATCCTAGGTTGCAAGCTTTGGTGGCCAACTATGCGCAAAGATGTTCACAAGTTCATCCTTCGATGTGACCGATGCCAAAGGATGGGAGGAATCACAAAGAGAAATGAAATGCCGCAATAATCAATCTTAGAAGTTGAGCCATTTGATGTATGGGGAGTGGACTTCATGGGTCCGTTTGTCTCCTCATGTGGGAATTTGTATATCCTTGTGGCTGTGGATTATGTGACTAAATGGGTGGAAGCGATACCATCACCCACAAATGACCACAAGGTAGTGTTGAAGTTGCTCAAGAAGACCATCTTTCCTAGATTTGGGGTGCCACGGTGCCTAATTAGTGATGGCGGATCTCATTTCGCCAAGAAACAACTCGAAGCACTTTTGAAGAAATATGGGGTACATCATAAGGTTGGACTCCCTTACCATCCACAAACCCAAGGGCAAGTGGAGGTGTCCAACAGAGAAATTAAGAGTTTGCTCGAGAGGATGGTCAACAAGTCTAGAAAAGATTGGTCCCTAAGACTGGATGATGTACTATGGGCCTTACGGACCGCTTACAAGACACCGATTGGCACCACGCCATATCGACTTGTCTATGGTAAGGGATGCCACCTTCCGGTGGAATTGGAGTACAAGGCATGGTGGGCTGTAAAGGAACTCAACATGGACCTTCACTTGGCCGGAGAAAAGAGGTTACTCAAGCTCAACGAGTTGGAAGAGTTGAGGTATGATGCTTATGAGAGCTCTAGACTCTACAAAGAACAAACCAAGAGGTGGCACGACAAAAGGATTCGAGATCGTGACTTCGAGGTGGGTAACAAGGTTCTTCTCTTCAACTCACGTCTCCGACTCTTTCCCGGGAAGCTCAAGTCCAAATGGGTGGGGGCGTTTACAATCACCAAAGTAACCCCCTATGGCTCGTTCGAATTGGAAAATCATGAAGATGGGAGCCGGTTCATGGTGAATGGGCAACGGATCAAAAGATACTATGATGAAGGAGATATTGGAAAGATCGGTTGCCTAATGCTTGGGACGGTCCACACCGTTCCACCCTCTTAGCTTTATTGCTCGTGACGTAACGTCAAGCTAGGGACGTTAAACTAGCATGCTTTGTAGTATATTGTGAATATTTGTCTTTGAACTATCTCTTTAGTTACTTTTTGTTTTAAGTACTTTGCAAAAATCCGGAGGATTTTTCCCCAAATAGGGGATGGTTTATGTTGGTTATCGTTAGCCAAAATGCTATAAACCGAAGGGCACGACCTCTTGGCTCAACCAATAAATGGTTGAGTCGGGTACTTAGGTCGTATCCTATAGAAGTACTAACGATTTTGGTTTGAGTGATATTTGAGTGTTTGCAGGTTTGGGAAATAATGCTTTTAAAGCCAAAAATCCGACAGTCTAGAGCGGGCGCTCTAAACAGAGGGCGGGCGCTCTGCATCATTGGGAATTATTCAGAATACTTGAGGCCAAAATCCGAGAATTTAGAGCGGGCGCTCTGGGTGTAGAGCGGGCGCTCTGATTTTAAGGGGGCTAAGGAAGGAAAATTTCGAGAATTTAGAGCGGGCGCTCTGGGTGTAGAGCGGGCGCTTTGAAGGTCCCTCAGAAATTCTACAGAGCGGGCGCCCTGGTCTTAGAGCGGGCGCTTTGATTTTCAACCCAGAAACCTGATTTTTCAGCGAAATGTTAGAGCGGCCGCTCTACCCTTAGAGCGCCCGCTCCGACCCTCATTTCAGACTTTGCGTTTTATCCCCTTTTAATTTTGAGCACCCAAATTCTCACCTCAAACTCCCTATCCCTATCCCTTCTCTCACCTCAAACTCCCTCAACTTCTTCCTCCATAACCAAACCTTCATCTCCTCCAAATCTCCACCTTCCAACTACGAATTCCTCTAAAATTCACAAATTATTCATCCCCTATCTCCAAAAATCATACATCTCCATCAAGAATTCAGCACCTAGTCCGGATTTCATCAAGAATTGAAGCGGGTTCTACCGGGTTCGCGTCGGGCCAAGTCGGGTTCTTCTTCAATTTCAACTCTAGGCTAATTTGTCTCCAATTGTTGGTATAATCCTACTCTTACTAAGTTAATTTTCCCTATTTCTTTGGATATTTGCTTATTAAGGTTGGCTTAATTGGAGAATTGATGGTGAATGAATGGGTTTTGTGTTTTATGTGGTGAAAATTTGTTGTGAATTGTAGTGTGTTGTTTGTTGTGGTGCTTTGGCAAGGGAAAATTATTGTGGATTTTTGCTAGGTTTTGGTTTGTAGAAAGTTTTGGTTTTAGAATTGGTGGTTGTGCAAAGTTTTGGAGAGTTTTGTTTTTGTGGTCATTGTGTAGAATTGTTGGAAATTGTTGGGTTGTTGTGGTGTGTTGCTTTGGAAAATTTCTATATTGTTGTTGTAAGAAATGGCTGGTGGTTCAAAGAGGCAAAGAGCCGAACCTAGGAGTGGTAATGTAGGAGAAAGTAGTGGTGCCGGTAGTAGTGGTGGGCATGCTCAACCCACTCAATTCAACATTACCCTGCCACATGCGGCCCAAAGGACCAAATTGGCCGCATTGGATAGGAGGGCAATTAATCCAACTCTCTTCTATTCCCAACACGACTGTTATATGATTGGAATAGACGAGAAGGTTAGGGAGCTTGCAGTGAATCTGGGGTTTGATGCGTTCTTGGATTGTAGATTGCCAAATGATTACATCACCGCAGATACTTCCTACTACTACCCCACCCAACCGCCTCTAACTTACCGCCCCCTAACATTGGAATTTCTTGCTAGCTTCGAGTTAAATCAAGAAGAGGGTATGGAAGGCATTGATGCATTCAAAGTAAAATTTCGGTTGTTCAACAAAGGCCGCCACATTACCCTCCGTGCTTTCAATGAACTATTTGGTTGGGACCCAAATGCTCGAATCTTGGATACCTCCGGACTTGACGGTCAAGGTTATATAGAGGGGTACAATCCGCAAGAATTTTGGGCCCGAATCACGAGTGGGGCTAGAGAATTCCAATCAAACTCCTCCAAGGCCTCAGAGATCCACCATGCCGCCTTACGGTACTTTCACCGGATGCTTGCATATATTTTCTTCTCCAGAAAAGATCTAGGTAAAATGAGCGATCAAGAGTTATATCTTC